GGGGGGCGAGGGGGGCGGGCGGGAAGGCAGAAGGCCAGCAGGGGCAGGGGAGCGGGCAAGGCAGAGTGGAGGTCCGACTTCAGAGGCTGGCACACCGGCCGGGCAGCGTAGTCCCCCGGCGCGCCGGCTCAAGTGGCCTTTCACCTGCATGTGGGGGGTGTGTGTGTGTGATGCCGTGCCGGAGCAGGCCGAAAGGGCACATTCGTTGGCACTTCGAGTGAGCGCGTGGGGGCGTCCCCCGCCTCGGGCCCCCGTTGTCTGGTGGCTCCCTCCCTAGGCGAGAGTGGCGGGGGCGGGGGCGGGCTTCTGCTGGCTTCACCCACGCTCCCCCCCCTGCCGGTGGGACGCTGGAAAGGAGGGAATGTTCCCGCTGGCCGCCGGGCGGCTGCCCCAAGCGCACCCCTCCTACTGTATGCCACACGCCTGTTTCCATTCCCCATCTCGTTCCTCCTCGGTCCCCCCCCCTCCCCTCTTTCTCCCCTTCTCTTCCGCTTTTCGCCCCTCCCACTCCCTCCCCATCCAAGGCATCCCCTCCAGCAGCATGAGCGCCAACGGGACTTCCTCCGCCCCCTCGCGAGTCAGCGCCCACTCGCACATTCGTGGCCTGGGCATCCGTGAGGATGGCACCGCCGAGCACCAGGCTGGTGGCTTTGTCGGTCAGACGGCCGCGCGAGAGGTACACGCCCCCGCCCCCCTGGGCCGCGGGTCCTTCCTTTTCCTTCGCCGCATGGGATCCCCCCCCCCCCCGCTTGTTCCGGGGCCGCTTGTCTAACATTGGATCCCGCCACCAGGCCCTGGGCCTGATCGTCGACCTTATCCGGGCGCGGCGCATGGCCGGCCGGGCGGTTTTGTTGGCCGGCCCGCCTGGCAGCGGCAAGACCGCCCTGGCCCTGGGCATGGCGCGTGAGCTCGGCCCGAAGGTCCCCTTCTGCGCCATGGTCGCCAGCGAGGTGTACTCCGCCGAGGTCAGCAAGACCGCCGTGCTGGCGGAGTACTTCCGCCGGACCATCGGTACGCATGGGCGCGCGCGCGCGCGCGCGCACTGGCACAACCCTCGCTCCCCTTTTGCTCCGGCCCCGCCGCTGACACCCTCCTGCCTTTGTGTCCTGCCTCCTCCCCTTTCCCCCCTCGGGCCCGCCCTCCGCGGGACGCCCTCCCTCCCCGTGCCCAGGCCTCCGCATCAAGGAGAACAAGGAGGTCTTCGAGGGCGAGGTGACCGAGCTGACCGTCGACGAGGCGGATGCCCCCCATGGCGGCTATGGCCGGACCATCGCCGCGGTGCTGGTGACGCTGCGCTCGGCGCGCGGGACCAAGACCCTGAAGCTGGACGCCTCGGCCTATGAGCAGCTGCAGAAGGAGCGCGTGGCGGTCGGCGACGTCATCTACATCGAGGCGCAGTCGGGCACCGTGCGGCGGGTGGGCCGGAGCGATGCCCTGGTCGGCGAGGCGGACCTCGAGGCCGACACCTATGTCCCCATCCCCAAGGGGGATGTGCACAAGCGCCGGCAGGTGGTGCAGGATGTGACCCTGCACGATCTGGACCAGGCCAATGCCAAGCCCACCGGCGGGCAGGACCTGGCGGCCATGATGGCGGCCCTTGGGCCCGGGGCCGCCCGGCGGACCGAGGTCACGGCCAAGCTCCGGCGCGAGGTGGACCGCGCGGTGGACAAGCACCTGCAGTCCGGCGTGGCGGAGCTGGCCCCGGGTGTGCTGCTGATCGATGAGGCCCATGCCCTGGACTTGGAGTGCTTTGCCTACCTGAACCGGGCGCTGGAGAGCCCGATGGCCCCGGTGGTGGTGCTGGCCACCAACCGCGGGTGGGCCCCGCTCCGGGGGTCCGGCACGCCGGGCGGCGCGCATGTGGTCCGCTCGCCGCACGGCCTGCCGCCGGACCTGCTGGATCGCATGGTGGTCGTGCACACGGCTCCCTATGGGCTGGCTGATGCCGGGGCCATTGTCGCCCAGCGGGCCGCCGCCGAGCGGGTGTCCCTCAGCCCGGAGGCACGCGCCTGGCTGGCCGAGCGGGCGTCCGGCGTCCCGGTCCCGGGCGGGGCGGTGGACTCGGCCACCGGCGTGGCCATGTCCGGCACGGCCTCCCTGCGGTATGCCCTTCAGCTGCTGGCCCCGGCGGCCATCCTGGCGTCGGTGCGCCTGGGCACCACCCCGGCCGCGACCGACGACACCCCCGTGGCCGATAGCAATGCCGAGGCTTCGGCCGATGGTGCCCCCGTCGTCCCTCTCCAGACCATCGACCTGTGCGATGTCGAGGAGGCGGGCATGCTGTTCTTGGATCCGGGCCGCAGCGCCGCCGCCGCCGCCAGCTGGACCCCGGCCGATGTGGAGATGCAGGTGGCCAGCACGGCTTCCGGGTGAAGAGAGAGGAGGGGGCGCCCACCGGGAAGGACGACCGGCACCCGCAAAGCCGCCTCGGGCTCCTGCCGGTCTCGGGATCCCCGGGCTCCATGCCCATGTGCCCACGTGAGCACGCCTCCCCTGGCCCGGGGCGAACATCTCCGTTTCCGCGGACCTGCTCTCGCCCGCGCCGGGGGCGGGGGGGGGGGGGGGTCCCCCGCCGCCCGCTTGGAGCCTTTGTTGTGTTCTCTCTCCCTCTCTCTCTCTCTCTCTCTGTCTCCCCCTCTCTGCGTCTTTCTGTCGATTGGTGTGCGGGTGCGGGCGTGCGCCCTGCGGGCTCACGGCCTCCCTGGGCTCTATGCCCGCGCATTGGGCGCGCCACTCGGCCTTGCGCTCTTTTCCGGCGGAAGGAAAGGCGGGGGACCCCCTTGTTGATGAATGTATTTTATATGTCCCTCTTCCCAAGTGTCCAAAGCAGGGGGGTGGGAGGGATCAAAAATAGTGGGGCGCGCCGGGTCGGGAGGGGCGGCGAGGCGGCAAGAGCTGTCCCCCCCAGGAGCCGGCGCGGACGCTTGACACCTTGGTTTCGGGGGGTGGGGCGCTCTGGCGTCCTACTATGCATGTGCGCGCATGCTTTCGCACCCGTAACCGCCGCCAGGCGGGAAATGCAACGGCATGGGACGCGTCCTCCAAGAGCGGGGGAAAAAGAGCGCGAAAGAGAGAGGGCCGGCGAGAGCCAGGACCGGAGAGGGACTATGATGCGATCTGGCAGCGGCCTCGGGGGCCAGCTGTCGGTGTGGGGCGGCCTGAGGGGGGGGGGGTCCGGCCCTCTCCCTTCCTTCCCTCCCAGGGGAGGGGCGGGAATGGCAGGTCCCGGTCGCCCGCCCGGATATGGTGCCTGCCCATGAAGCCGACCAGTGGGCGCGCTGCTCGGCCGGGCCAGCAGCTGGTGCGGCTGCCTGCGCAGGTTGCCCTTCCATCACATGTGGGCCGGCCTGGCGCAAAAGCCGCATCTCGGCCGCCGGCGGCCGGCTCTCGCGCCGGGCCCTGCTGTCACGGGCCGCCGGCCGCGGTAGGGGCACACGCCGGAAAAAGACCCGGGCAATTGTTGTTTACATTTCCGGCCCGGGGCGAAGGAGCACCCACCCGCACACACACACACACACACACACACACGCACGCACGCAGGAACTTGGGGGGGGGGGGGGGGCCGGTCCTGACACGATCGCCCCTGGCTAGCGGGTGCTTCGCCCGTGGGGCAGGCCGATGGTGCGGGTGCTGGGCCTAAAAACACCAGGTTTGCCCTCGGGCTAGCCCCGGTCGCCGCGATGGGGGCCCACCCGTGCGAGAATGCCCCGACAGTGCTCTCGTAGTGGGTATTTATGGCTGGCCCAGTTCACGACCCGGGGGGGGGGGGGGGCGGGGCGCGCCGGTCAGCTATTGTGCGGGAAAAAAAAGAAGGGGAAAGGAGTTGGGCGATCCGCCACCCTGCGTGACCTGCCCCTGCCCCCCCCCCCCCGCCCCCCAGGGAGCCGGGGGAAGGGGGGAAGCACCGAACGGGGCGAGGCAAGCCCACGCCCGACCGCGGCTGACCCCCTGCGGGCGCGCCTGCTACCGTCTCCCCGGGCGCCGAGTCTCTCGTGGGAGATCCCAGAGCCCTCGGCGGAATTGCCCCCAATGCGTGGCCCGGATCTCGCCGATCGGGTCCGGTCCGGCCCGGCCCCGGGCGAGGCTGTTGGGCGTGGGGATCCGCGTCGAACCCGCCCCCCCCCCCTCTGACCCCGCCCCTCTTGGGGGGCCGGGCCGGCGGCGCCCAGCCCGGCGAGATGGCACAGGCCGTCCTCCCAGTCGACCGCGTCTTTCTCGTTCATTGCCCCCCCCCCTCTTCTCCTCCTCCTGCTCCCGA